CCCTTGCAGGTCCCTCCGGTGGAAGTCCCGTCCGAAGACGATCGGCTGCCACAGGCGGGAACAAAACCCCAAAGGGCCCTTCAGGACCCCACAAAGTCTCCCCACTTTCCAGATGAAGCTGCCATCCCGGGGGAGATGGTTCCGGATGGGTCGAAAGAGCTGGGGGACCTCCCCAATTCTCTCGAGCAGGAGGAGGAGGAGGAGGAGGAGGACGAAGGCTGCCAGGACCAAGCCCTTTCCGGAAGTGTGGACCAGATCGCTTCAGCCATGAGGGCCCTGGGGGTGGACCTCCTGCGGGAGATGGAAGCGGAGGACAGCACGGGCAACACCATCTTCTCTCCCCTCAGCATCGGCCTGGCCCTCGCCCACCTGGCTCTCGGTAACACCGCCCAGGAGACGACCCTTCTTGGAGGGGGGAGGCTTCTGGGAAGAGCACCCTGCAGAGGGGCACCTGGCCTCCCCCCTCCCCCTCCACTATTCCCAGCTCTCCCCTTTGTCCCGCTGAGCCCCAAAGCAGAGGAGGCCAAAGGGGGAGAGCGGACGGCCTCGATCCGTGGAAAGGCTCCCCAGGAATGAACGGGGGGAGGGAGACGCCCTGCAGCCCCACTGCACCGAGACACCCCCCCCCCTCTGGTCCAAGGGCGGGTGGGCTCCTAAGGGCTGCTCCCCCACCCCACCCCCCAGGCTCCTTCAGCCACTGCTTCCCAAAGTGAGCCTGGCTTGTTTCAGGGGCCGCCAACCAGACCCAGAAGCGCCTCCTGGAGGTCCTGCACATGGAGTTCGTGCCCTGCCTCCACCAGGCGCTGCGGGGGATCACCCAGCACCTTCACCAGACGGCCCTCAGCATAGCCGGCCGCCTCTTCTTGGAGAAAGGTGAGCCCCCCCCACCCCAGTGGGCAAGAGGCGGGCAGCCATTTCCCCCCCCCCATATATGTGTGTGTGAGAGAGAGAGAGGGGGGAGCCAGGATGCCCCCCCCTTCAGAGGGGAGAGAGGGGGGCTTCTGAGGACAGGAAGCTCTTCAATCCTTTCCCTTCCAATGTTTGCCCTAGGAGGAGAGCTGGGGGGAGGAGGCGGGGGGGTTGACGCTGCTGGGCTTTGGCAAGATGACCCCGGAGGGCAGCGAGGGGGCCCGAGGCATACACACCTCCTTTTGCCCATCTGCCCAGGGTGCCAGCGCTGGCTGCCAGCAGATGAAATGCCAGAGGCCCCTCTTGGTGCCAGGCTGCCTCGGCTGGCATTGGTGCCCTTCAGGCTTTTTGCAAGAAACGGCACTTCGTCTGCCTGGCCACTTCTATTGCCACATGCAGATGCTAAATTCAAATGGGGGGTGGGGGGAGAAGAGCCAGAAGGCAAAAGGAGGGCTTTCCCTCAGGGGGTCATCAGCCCTTTTCTCTCACCCCGGGATTTCCCCTCGGCTCTGAAGGCTCTTGACAGGCTTTGAACTCCTCCCTTTCACCCCTCAGGTTCAGCTTATAATGAGGGTATCAAACTGGCGGGTGGGTCTTGACGTGGGCAGGATCCCAGGAATGCAGTTTTCCTAGGAGGAGCCATCGCCTCTCTCTTTCAAAAAGGATTCCTTTCTGCTGAAGAAGCAACATTATTTGACACGTGGCCATAGAAGCAAAGTTTATTTATACACAAATAATAAATGCTACTCCGGCACAACAACCGCCCCCCTCCCCCCTCAGGGTGAGGCACAGCCCTCAGTCCGTTCCGGGCCAGGGAACCCGGCATCGCAGCCTCCTCTCCAGGAGGCAGGGGTGGCAGTGGTGAGACAAACCCTCCCCGCTTTCTGGGCCCGATTCCCGTGCCTCCTCCTTCCCAGGCTTCCCGGTCAAAGAGAAGTTCCTGGAGGCGTCCCAGAGGTTCTACGGAGCAACGCCCGGCCTGCTTTCTGGGAACAACCAGGCTGACCTGGAGACCATCAACAGGTGGGTGGAAGAAGCCACCAATGGGCAGATCTCCACCATGCTCACCCAGCTGCCTCCCAACATCGTGATGGTCCTTCTCAACGCGGTCTACTTCCAAGGTGAGTCTCCTGCCCGGCTGGGGGATTTAGGAAGCCACCATGGGTGATTTCTCCCAAGTGGGGCCGGAAGCCCAAGTCCTTCAGCTCTGAGGATGGAAAGACCAGCTTGGTGGAGGGAAAGTTCACCAGCCTTTTGCCCCCCGATGCCCCCTCTCTTGTGGACCAGGGTTCTGGAAGACCAAATTCAACCCACTCCTGACGGAGCCCAGCCTGTTCCACCTGGACGAGGACTCTGCGGTCTCTGTGGAGATGATGAAGGAACGGGACTTCCCCCTCAGCTGGTTCAGAACGGAGTCCTGGGAGGCCGAGGTAGGGTGGGCGAGGAGGGGGAGAGGAGTCCCGGGATGTCCACTGCCCCAAACTGGTCAGTCAGGAAAGACTGGCCCACAATTAGCCAAAAGGAGACTTTACTATACAGCCAAAGTGGTTACTGAAGAAGCAAAGCTGAATCTGAAGTTTTCATGTGCAAAAGATAGTTAACTTTGTTCCCAGCCAACCCCCTCGTTCTCAGTCACTGTCCAATTAGGTGTTAGAAAATGGTTTTCTTTAGTGTGACCTTGAGACATGCTTCCCACGGGATGGTCTGCTTGGTTTCGCTTCCCCTCCCTGTCCCCCACTGCTCCCCCCACCTTACTGACGTCAGAAGGGCAGCCATGATAACCGGGTATTGTTTACTTGCCCTGCCGGGAGCGTGGCTCCCACAGGAAGGGAAGAGACCACCCCACAGGCTGCCATGATTGTCCCCAGCCTCACAGCCGAGTGTCTTGCCCTTCACGGACCCTCCTGCGCTCTTTCCTCCAGGTTGCCAAGTTTCCCTTTAAGGGCAACGCCTCCTTCGTGGCCATCGTCCCCCGGCTCCACCTGCGGAAGAACTTCTCTCAGCTTCTGTCCGAGGTCCTCCAGCTCGGTCTGGAGGCCTCGTTCCCCAAGGAGAGACCCACCATGGTGAAGATGCCGAAGCTGCACTTAGAGGACCACGTGGACCTCAACGGGGCCTTGACTCGGCTAGGTGAGGGACGCCCAGACAGTGGGTGGAAGAGGGTCTCCCCCTCCTCCTCCTTGCTCCAAGCCCCCTGCCCAAAGGAAGGAAGTGAGCAGGCGGGCTCTGCAGGTGAAGCCCCATTTGGGTCCCTCCAGGCACCTCCAGCGTGGAGAAGCTGCAAGAGGCTGGGGAACCTCTCCCGACAGGCTGCCCAGCCCAGCCGCAGAGCCTGAGGGGCAAACACCCCCCCCCCCCCCCGTTCAGCTATGGGGAAGCGGCTGCTGCCACTACAGTCGCGGTTCCTCTCTCCCCTCCAGGTCTCGGAGAGCTCTTCTCCGCCCCAGACCTCCACCACATCGCCGAGGGGCCCCTGGTGGTCTCCAGCATCCAGCACCGAGCCGCCCTGGAGCTGGCCGAGGCTGGAGTGCAGGCAGCGGCAGCCACCAGCGTGGTGGCTTCCCGCTCTTTCTCGGCCTTCTCCCTCGACCAGCCCTTCATCTTCATGATCACGGAGGACATCACGGGCATCCCCCTCTTCGTGGGCACCATCCGGAACCCCAGCCCTGGGGCTCCCCGGGAGAAGACGGGCCAGGACCCCCTTGGGGAGAAGGAAGGGCCGCCTCTTGATCACGAGCGTCGCCGCTGGAAGCCCTGAAGGGCCACAGGGCTCCCCCCCCCATTCCAGACAACCCGGCCTCCCAGAAGACCCTCCCGATGGCTGCCCACCCAAAGCGGCTCTCCCTCCCAGTTGGTGTCTCAGGAGGGGGGTGGGATCCCATTCCAATCTTGAAACTGAGGTGGTGGGAGAGCCTCCCTCGGCCACTGGTGGCCCTGGCAGTTGGGATCCGGCACCTCAGCTTGCCAGATGTGGGGCTCCCCATCTGGCCTGGCAGCCCCCCCATTGATTTCTCTCCCCCCTCAGTGGTTTCTTTGGCATCAGGCTGGATGTCCCCCCCCCATTTAGTCAGAGCAAACTCCTCTTTGCCCCGGGAGCCCCCCCCTCAGTCCACGTTACACACAGGGCCGCCCCCTTCGAAATCCCCCCCACCTGCCGTGGTTTCAGGCTGAAAAAGGATAGGATGGCCATGGCGCCACAACCCTGTGAGGTTGGAACACAGGCTGTCACCCAGGATGCCTTCAGAGCATCCGAGACCATCGCCCCCTTCGGAACCCCCCCCCCCTCTTCCTGCTTCCAAAATCACGAGAGCGGAGAAGATGCTCTGGGACCAGACAGCTGAAGCTGGGACACAAAGAGGAAGATTCAGCACTGGGAATTGTAGAGGAAATAATGCAAAATAAAACTGCAAATATCCTTCGTCTCCTTCCTTCTCCGGCATCAAAGCCAGGCCGACTTCTCAAACAAGGGGACCAAGTGGGGGGAGAACAGGCGGTCCTCGACTTACAGCCACCGAGCCCAACATTTCCATGGCTAAGCAACGGCAGTTGTTAAGTGACATTTGCCCCTATTTCATGAACCTTTCTGGCCACCGTCGTTAAGTGAATCCCTGAAGTTGGTCACACTGTTCTTAAGTGAATCTGGTTTCCCCATTGATTTTGCTGGCCAGAAGGTCGCAAAAGGGGATCAGATGACCCAGGGACTGCAGCCGTCATAAATATGAGTCAGTTGCCAAGAGTCTGAATTTCTATCCCGTGGCCACGTGGGAAACGGTCATTGCTGACTGTCTTCAGTGCCGTTGTAACTTTGAACGGTCACTAAACGGTTGCAAGCGGAGGATTGCTTGCAGCCAGCCGGAGGGGGCGGTGGGCGGAGGAGGGCCCGCTTTCCACAGGGCACCAGAGCCGGAAGGGCAAAGGGACCGGAGGCCTTCCAGCCCACGAGGAGACCCTCTAGCAGCTGCCAAGCCAACTAGGCTCCCTTTCAGCATCTCCTCTGGGGACCTGCAGAGTCACCTCTGGATTGGATCCAGCACCCAGGCCAGGGGTCTCCGACCTTGGCAACTGGTGGCCTTGTGGGCTTCGGCTCCCAGAATTCCCCAGCCGGCTCTGTTCTAGATCAAGGTGCTGGGAGTGACGGTCCTCTTCCCTTTCCACAGGGGGGAGGAAGGCAGCCACGTCCCAACGCCCACTGGGGGCGTCCGGGAAAACAACCGTCCGGAGGCCTGGACAGGCTTTGCCTGAGATGTTGGGACCGGCAGGGGGAGGGGGGCTTTGTGGAGGGCCTGCAGCAAAAGCCCCTTCTCTGCTTGGAGAGGAGGAGGAGAAGGGGGCTCCCCTTCCCCCCCCCCCGGCCCGAAGAAGAGGGGCCGGAATGGCCTCCCGGCGTTTGGCTCTCCTGTGTGGCTCTGTCCCCAGAGGAAGGCCTGAATCAGTGGAGGTTGGGGGAGCCCCCTGCCTCTTCCAGGCCCCCCCAAGAGGCTCCGTGGCTGCTTCCACCCGTCCTGGGCTCCCCAGCTACGCTGCCTGCCTGGGAGCCTCAGGAGGGAGCCTCCTCATCACGGGGGGGCATCAAAGCAGTGGAGACAGGCGGAAGGCCAGGGGCTCCAAGGCCATCAGGGCTACTCAACCGTCGGAGCCTTTCCCCTCCTTGTTCCCCGGAGGAAGGAGGAATCCCCAACAGAAGGTCCCAATGGAGGGGAGCATTTGTGAAGGGAGCTTTGCCCCTTTTCATGACCTTCCTTGCCACAGTTGTGAATCACTGAAGTTAGTAACACGGTTGTTAAGTGAATCTGCTTGTCAAAAAGAGGCTCATGGGACACCACCACCCCTCCACACCGGTCCTAAGAACCAGCCGGTTGCCAAACACCTGACTTTTGACCACATGAACACGAGGATGCTGCTGGGGGCGTGTTCAAACTGCCAAGTGTCACTTTTTTCAATTGGTCACTAAATAAGCTGTTGTAAGTCGAGGACTGCCTGCAATTCCGCTTGCCCCTCGCCAGAGGCTCCTCTGCAGGGTTGCAGAGCCCCGGAGGCTGTTTTCCATGGGGAAATAGATGCACCTGCTGCCCCCCAACCAGAACCCCCCCTCCCCCTCTAGGGGGCCAGCGGGCTCCCTCTGTGCAGGGCCCCCCAGGAAGCCCCCTGGGCCAGGGGCTCTCACCTCACAGCAGGAGACCCCCGGTGGACTCTCCTCTGCCTTCAGAAGCCGGTTTCTCACTAAGTAGGTTTACCATTTTTGCAAGGCCAGCCCTGACTGCAACGGCCCAAGGCCCAGTTCCAACTTCTTTAAACTGAAACTACTTGGAGCGCGCACGAGGGCTGCGTCTTCTGGCTCCCCAACACCCCCTGGATCCTGACCAACCCTCTCGCTTGGCTGACGGAGGGCCAGCCTGGAAAGGGGAGGCGGCTGCTTTAAGAGGGACCCCACAAAGCTG